TACAGGACGATCAAAGCGGCATTTCGTTAGCCTACAGCCAGAAGTTCAAATGCAATGTGTGGCAAAAGGCCCGTGAACGCCTCCTTCTTCCTAAAAAATTATTTCACACTAGACTTGAGAGCTTAAAAGTGTTTTGGGTTCTCTCAGCACGGGTATATGGCATTTCTCCTGCTCGTGGCAGTACTTTCACCAGAGGCTCACCTAATTCACTTTTGCCGCACGCAAAACTCTAGCTGCGGCATCTAATCAAGGAACAAAGACTTTCGCTTTTGCAAATTCAAAAAAACAATTGGGTATTCGCACTGCGCATTGTAGCGCTTGCTGTATTTTGTCCTAATTCCGCTGGAAGGGGCTTCAAAGACGCTACAATACTAGTGAATTGCTGTGCGCCTGTTTCTGGCGAAGCCCCAGTGTCAAACTAGCAGCCGCACCGCATATGCCTCAGCAAAAAGCCTCTAAAACATATAAGATGACCTGTGCATTGGTGCACTGATGGAGCACAACAAGGGTAGCAACGTTCTCCACATCCCTCACTTAGCTGCAGTAACGCATGCGCTGCCTTGCACAGCCTTGACATTGCAGTGGGCTGGCACAAGCAGAGCCAAAGACCATGGTAACCTTATGTAGTAACTGCCTCTCGACGTTGTTTGGCCGGAATATCTTCGCTGCTACTAATCAGTGAGCGAATTGATAAGCCGATCATGAGGAAGTGAGAGCCGGCGCATTCTGGTGGAAAAGAGTGTAGGAGCTCAGGCAGCGGTACTCAATATGGGGCAGGCGATTCAGAATGTCTTCTTGGGCCAGCGTCTGATTTAGATCCGACGAAAAATAGTAAAGAATGAGAGACACCAAGGGAATTTCAGTCATCTGCACCATTAGAGTCAGTTCATCAGCCTCCGTAACGTCAGCTGAAAGACAACCACCGCAGGACAGAAGAATGGATGTTCAGTCCGTGCTATGCAAAAGCTGCGCATTGATTACAGGATTTGGCACATTGCAGAGATGTCGACTGGAGTGAGTAGGATCTACAGTTGCAATCGCGTGCCTCCTGAGCTTCGGAGCAGGCTGTGCGGAGGAGCTGAAGGAAGCCAGAGATTTTAAAAGGTTGAGGCAAAGTAGAATCACAAAAATGACTCAGCAAGCTGAAATTAAACGTTCAAGTTAATTTATAGAGAATTCCAGTCTCCGCGAAGCTCACTCGTCGATATGTTCAATGTCGTAGACCAGTGCAATCCAATGTGTTCAGGGAAACATATAAACACTGGACGATCGCGGAAAACGTCTTGTCCCCGAAATATGGCCTGAACAAAGAACGAGTGGTAGGTACTGCTTCGTGTGAGTCAGCAATTTGACAGTGAGTTGACGAGAACAAAGAAAAATAGCCAAGGCTTCGTGCTTAAAATAGGAGAAGATGCGAACGTTTATATAGGCACAGAAGAGACAAAACTGTTCCGAAAAGATTGTGATATTGTAACACCGAGTGCAGTAAGAACTCCACTGGGCATACCTGCCAGGCGAATAGAGCAGCAGGGAACCGCTTGATGCATGCTGGCTGCCCCGGTGTTCTGTCAACAGCGGACTCGTACACGATTCTCAACTTATTTTCAGCTCCTGCACACGACTCAAGACGTACTCCAACGTAGTGTGTCAACGGAGGACAACCCTCAAGATCTTTCACGAGGATCATTTTCGGCGAATGTGCTGTCAGATCCCTTACCGATATCAAGTCGAACACTCCAATCAAAATAGGTACCGCAGACAAATTTCGCAGGAAGCGACTCTCTCAAGGCAATCTTCAAGTTGCTAATGCGCCATTGAGCTGCGCTTAACAAGTCTGAAGGCAATGCACTGGAAGACAAGCCTACTTCCGTATCACGTGGTGGCTGTAATGGTGGCTCACTCCCACTGGGTGCCAGTATGAACTATGCCGATGTGTCGACTGCTTGGCACTCGTGCCAGGAAATTCTTTGTGACACTTGCACCTTATCAAACGATCAAAAGCACGCTGACAGTGTATTTCACGTGTTTAAGGCAATACTCCATGACACAATCTACACATTGAACTGCCAGAGTAGGATTTCTGCGCTGCTACCAGCTGATTGTAAACAGATGAATCGAAACGACGAGAATTTTTCTTACTCGACGGGACAGCTCCTAAGGGTGTATCTTCGTCTCGGAAGATAGAGAGAGCCCCTGGCTCTACAGCCCAATCCCACAATTTGCAGTCTCTCAGAAGCTCACACACTGTGTCAAATGAGCTCCAGTCAACGACGAATCGAACAATCAGATCAGCATCTGTATTATTGTCGCAGCGTCGGCATAGCTCCCGGACCATGTACACTATTTGGTTCCGGGGCATCTGCAGCAGTTGCTGCCTTGACGATGGCGCTCGCACGACATCAGCAAAGCGCTTAACGATATATCCGCAGACTTGGCGAGACAGCTCCTTGTGATGAGCCACTTCATCATGCGTCAGAATACGAGCGCAATTTTGAACTGAAAGCTGATCCACGATGAGCGAGAGACAATCATCAATGCTCAGGCAGTTCACTTCTAAATTGCGGGCCTCGGCCAAGACCTGTGCAGACAACGCGAACTGAAGATACAATGATGTAAAATGCTGTGTGTTATTTTGCAGTAGGTGCAGAAAATTCTTCCGGTCAATCTGAATGTAATTTATTCATTGAACGTGTCATGAAAAGCATGCTTTTGCATAATGTGAGCTACACACAATATTCTTGTCATACTTTAACTGTCTAGTTTTCCTAGTGCCCGTCGAAATCGTGTTTTTCGGTACCTCTAAGACAATTTCGGGGTCTGTTCCCGCTTCTATGTCTGCACCGTACATGCAGCGTACAAGCTGATGCACCACAGGCCAGCGCTGCTGAAACTCAATGCGCTTTGCAGTCTCCGGTCCGCAGAACAACCTCTTAAAGTATTCGCTACAAGCGGCGAGGACACACTGGTGGGCGCGCAGCTCCTGCATGTAGTCGAAACTTAACGACAAGTTTTCGACGAGTTTAAAAGGCTGACGCGGCTTTGCTCAAAACTTGAGTTCCTCTTTCAAGGCTCTGTGTCTCTAAATCCGAATGATACGTGCACTGGTTAATAAAACACTATCTAGTTTTCCGCTATGAGTGTACAGACCTAAACCTCGATAGTGGAGCCATTTGAAGGCCTTCTTAACCAAATAAGAGGCAATGTGCAAAAGGCTCGAGGGTAAGTGTAAGGGCTGAAACATTGTTAAGTTTTGCAAAAGCATTCTCTAACGGCTCCAATTTTTATTGTCGTGACTCATTTAGTGAGCTGGAAGCAAAAGACTCACTCTGTTCTCTGCAACAATGACAACATCAAATAGAGGCTCAAACGAAGGCTCGGCAAGCAGCGCAAAAATATTTTGCTGGAAAGTTCGAAGCCGGCCGTATTGGTTGGTTTGTTTGCGCTGCCGTTCTGCAGAGCCGCCGACATCTGGTCCACAGGGGATTCCCTGACCACAGACTTTTGCTGCGTGAGCCATTTTACGCTTTGCCCCTCTGAGCCTTCAGTCCCTTCCAGTTTCGTGTTTCTTGTAGCTTTGCTGTTTGCGCAGAAATGGATTCCCACACGTACTGCTAATGTTACTATGCTGGCTAATGCAGCCTCTCTTTGCCCACTGGACTGTTCTTTGTGCAGCACGGCATTGAAGGCAACTTTCTATGCATCTCAGGGCCCATACAATAATAGCTCACAACGAAAAGGTTTAGGGTGGTGAGGGATCGGCACCTCGTTGCTTCATAAGCTTCTCTGAAGCAGATGTCTCTGAGTGGGTACTTTTGGGTTACGCGTGTGAACGTCAGGAAGGCGATAGCCTGTGTAAGCTATACAGTTTCTGAGGACCGCTGTTGGATTGATGTAACAAGTGTGGGATGCTAAAGAGGGATTCGAATAGCTTCGAAAGTTTAAGCTTCGACAAAATGGCGGATTAAGTTGAGTAAAGCATCATGCAGACACGCCGTTTCCTAGAATAGGTGAGCTGAAAAATTCTTCAGATGAAGAAAATTCAAAGTTGAGTGAAAATTTTGAATCTTCTTGTGAGCAAGCTTCAAAGTTTACATGATGAACAGTAGCCTGAACGAATGCCCTCTACATGCACTCGAAACTTTCGGCGGGGCTTGATTCTGACCAAGGGGTGCCATGTGTGTACAACTTGAAATGCAGATCATCCAAGCCAATAAAGAGAGATTGCAAAAAACAATTTTAAAGCCATTTGTTTGTTTCTACACAAATGCTCCATCGTGTAAATGTTGCCGGATAATAGTTGTGCCGGAGAATAATTGTAGTATCAGGAGCCGTTCCAGAATCGGCTTTGGCTTAATGCTGTAGAATCCCCATTGGATACTCAGAACGTTGCTCTTCGTCAGAAAGAAAAATAAAGGCATTCTGTGGATGAAATCACTGAGTAAGAGGTTAGCGTACACATTCGCCAGTTCGAATCGGTGTGCGGCTGTTTCGCCTGATTGAGTGATCCTTGCATTGTTGAGCTGACGACAACTCTTCTCTTTGGCAGAAAGCAGAAGAAAGAATTACTTATAGAAACACATTTTGCAAACAGTTTTTAATGCGATTATGTCGGCAGTCTTTTCTTGTTCTTCTGTGAATCTTGTAGGAACGAGTACGACATGCATAGTGGCTGTAATGCTAATCGAACTTCACGGAAGAATATGCTTGAGGCGCTTTTTTCTCGAAGGTGCCCGAATGCATGTATTCCCTAGACCCTTGAGTTGCTGTAAAATTTTGCTCTGAGGTGAACAATTCTCTGTGATGGCTGTTATGCTGTAGTGATATACATATAGGTGCCCGAATGCATGCATTCCCTAGAGCCTTGAGTTGCTGTGAAAGTTTGCTCTGAGGCGAATGCTTCTCTGTGATGGCCGTTATGCTCAAAGACGGCCTTGTCGAACAGTCGGCACGCATTCATTAAAGCACATGCGCACAGGCAATTCGACAAGGCCGTCGCTCAACAAAACAGCCACCACAGAGAAGCATTTACCTATGATTTTGCGTTTGACGTTTTTCTTTTCAATTTCAAAGAGATAGCATAGGCTGCATACCTTAATTTCTATATTTGCTGCCAGCTCCTTCAACCACTACGGCACAGCTGGTTGCAGTTAACCGCTAGGTCTTTGAAAGTAGATCACCGTTTCGATAGCCGAAGGCCGAAAAGACTGACCCGAGTATCCACATTACTCGCATCTTGACCTCTGCAGCTAGTAATTCAGGATATTTTCTGGCATATAGTGCACTGCCGCGCTTTCTACAATGCTAAATTTGGCGAACCCGAAACATTACTTTGCACCTGGATTTGAGTTGCGCCATGCTTTGCCTGATTTGAAGGTGCAGCGTTGAAATGAATTTCTAGTGAACAGTAGGAATTTGGTTGCTCCAGAGGATATGGTTGTGTTTGCGTGGCATAAAATGTGATCTCACCGCAGTTGTTACTGTCTTCAGCTTCTAAGCGCCACCTGACTAGTGGCCCAGTGGCGTTCAATTTTTTGTTGTGAATGATTATTAAGGAAAACGGTGAACATCAGCATGCACGAATACTGAGCTTATCGATAATTGTTATTGCAGTTCTACCTATGTGTAGCTGTACTGACGCTCAGCAGCCAGCGAATCACTGTAGCGGTCCTTTACAAAGTGCTATTCAGACCCTGAAACACAGCTCATGACCCTTACTTCATGCAAAATTTGCTTTTCCTTGTTGCATCGAGGTGCTGATAAGTCTCTCAATGCAGCGAAATACTCATATTTTGCCGGGTCAAGTCCGAGATTTAAACTTGTAGTTGACTTTGAGAAATGTGCTGTCGTTCCCCTCAGCTCCAGCTTTGTCCCCTACACAGGAAAGCCACACATTTCTCCAAACATCTTCATCTAGATACCTCGGCAGATGTGGTTTACCTACTTTGGATACTTTTCTCACACTGTAAAATCCCATGCTTCATACATCCGCACTGTCAAGTAGATCGAGCCAGTACACCGGACTTCATTACAAACCTGTTCGACTTTAGGCTTGTGGCTACTGCATTTGCCCGTATACAGACTCAATTTTGCAGAGGTCTTCAATGAAAGGTGGTGCAAATGCAATCGTGGAGATTCACGCTCAGCGTCCTCGTCCACGATGCCAGAGTGCACGTGAGGTATAGAAGGAGTCTCCCCCAAAAAAACTATGAATCCCACAAGAACGGAACGTGGCAGGGAAAAACTGTCGTGGGCTCGAAGGTTGTTGGTGGCAAAACACGCCAACGCCACGACTGTAAATGAAATGTGGCTGAGGAGGAAAAGTGTGAGGCGGTACCAGCCTTGATGAAACGAGTGGTCCCATGGCTCAGTTGCAGCAAACAAGACAACGCCTCCAAGTCTTATGAGAAGAGCTGTGTCTAATAGTTGCATTGACGAAACTAGGGTTGCTGCTTGATTCGCGCCTACACTGTGTTCTTTATTACCTGCAGGCAGCATTGTCGAGCCAATTTGCTTTGGCCTTCGTAACGTCATTTTATGCTTTGCACGAGGCACACCCTTGGCATTGAATTTTCATAATATGTGCAACAGTTTCTTACAGGCATTCTAATGCTGCACTGATTAGTGGCAACGATGAGAAAAACTTTCAGGTAAGATCGATATCTCCTTGCAGCATTTCATGTAGCCCATGTAAGAAAACCATCCTCTGATGTTGCAACCTTAGTGAATCTCCTTCACTACCGATTGCTTTTCAAACGAGACACATCGGCGATCGTCTTTGTCAAAATTCCCCGCCTGCTACGAAAAATCCTTGTGCATGAGCGTGGGACATACTTGGCCTAGACGGCGCATATATTGTTTGTTTTGCTGCCTCATTCATGCGTGGTGCTCTGATAAGAAAAGCGTGTAGGATAAACTGGCCAGGCAGCAAACACAAAATTGGATAGATTACGCTGGCGTCTACAACTCTACAGCAAGTGAAATAAGCAAGTATATGCATTTCCACGCAATGGAAGGCCGCTGATTTGAATTTTTTCCTTATTGAACAAAATCATTCTTCCAGTTAGAGGCAGTCGACGAAAAGCGAGGCACTCAAAGGAAAGATATTGCTTACAAAGAAGTAGACGAAGTACAAAAAGTAGCACTTGATGCCGGACTATGTGGAGCTTCCATTTGTTTGTATGAATGAGCTTGTGGCAACTTTGTCCCGCCATGAAAATATCATCCAGGGACTGCTCACATTTCCTAGTAAGCATATAATCGAGCCATAAGTTTTCAAAGAAAATGATTTTACATATTGAACAACTTCCAAAATGTGTGTG